TTCCTCAGTTTTGACCACATTGATAGGTACACTATCCTAAAATGCAATCCAAAACATCTAGCTCCTCAATCTAATAAATATTGTCCAATATGTTGTCGTCTAATATCTTCTATGGCGAATAAGTTAAACCATGAAAAGTTACGATAGCAACGTAATTTTATAATTCTTTCCAGATCACAGGCTATAACATACAACGTCAATCTCTCAACTTGATAGAATTTTGTAGAATTTATCTAATAATTTGTTATTTATTATGACAAGTTAATAATTAAGAAACTATAAGAACATCATAAAATCATCAACGAATTAAATTTAATTTCAGTTTTCATTTTGAAATTGCACTTTATAAACATCTAATTTACCTCACCGCATACTCTTAATTAAGTATATGATCACACACTTCAACAACATGTGTTTTATAAAATAACCAATATTAACTCTAATAGATCATGTAAGTTAGACTTTAGAACACATAACAACATCTGTCATTTGAATAATATTAAAAATTTCACAAAAAATTCAATTTTATTAATTTTGGGCCATAACATCAGCATTTTAAATGTTTTTGGATACTATATTGTGTCCTCTCCAAAATTTTAAGATTTAATTATTCAGATTATTTTATTAAAAATAGATTATATATTCAGAAAAATTATATATATTATAAATATATATTTATCATTTATGCATGTGTCTGTTCGTGTCTATTCATAAAAAAACAAATAAAAATATTTTATTTTCTTAAAATTATGCATAAATTTATTTATATAAATAATTAAATTATACTCCGAAAAAAAAAAAATATTTCTTACTCAGCCACTGGTGTTGCCACGTGACTCGCACCATCATCATGATTTCTATAGTTATTATTTCATATATTTCTGCTGTAATATTTTACAAATGTTCTCTACAAGTGTTGGGTTGGCAAGGACTGGGGTGAAAGAGAGCTAGGAAGAAAGATTATGGGGTAGTCGTCAAGTTTGGGAAACAATCAGTAGGACAACAAACAACTGAATTATAGTTGATTTTCCTAATGGGTTTCTTGGGAGCGTTTTGATTTTTATTTTTAATCTTGTACTTATGCTCCGTCTGAAGAGCGTAAACTTTGAGCTTGTAATGACAACTTTATTAATAAAATTTAGTTAATATTATTTATAATTTGATCGCACATTCTCAACTTAAATTCATTATAATTTGTATTTCTCATATAACATATCTATAGGAATGGCTAAAGATGCCAACTCCACACCGAATGGATCATTGCATTCCGTAATGGCGGTGATGACTCCTAACATTAACTCTCCTATAATAGACAAGTCAATAACATCATCTCTCCACAACTACTAATGGGCACATATACCCAAAAGGATTTTCCACTCACCCTAATAATTTGAACTACGTGACTTTTGTGGTCATGATAATTGCAGGGATATATCTTATTTAGCATGTATCATGAGATTTTGTCCTTGTTCTCATTTTCCATAATTGATTCAGGGAACTTGCTCCAACTCTGCTTTCCAAGTATGACTGTCACAATCATTAAAGTTTACATGACCTTTTCAACCTTAAAAAAAAAATGTTTACTCACTTCTTACCACATTGATAAGTTCACTATCCTAAAATGCAACTCCAAAACATCTAGCTCCTCAATCTAATAAATATTGTCCAATATGTTGTCGTCTAATATCTTCTATTGCGAATAAGTTAAACCATGAAAAGGTATGATATCAACTTGACGTTATAACTCTTTCCAAATCACAAGCTATAACATACAACGTCAATCTCTGAACTTAATGCAGTTTTGTAGAATTTATCCAATAATTTGTTAATTATGACAAGTTAATAATCAAGAAACTATAAGAACATGATAAAATCATTAATGAATTAAATTTAATTTCAGTTTTCATTTTGAAATTGCACTTGATAAACATCTAATATACTTCATTGCATACTCTTAATTATGTATAGGATCACCCAGTTCAACAACATGTGCTTTATAAAATAAAAAAAATTAACTCTAATAGAACATGTAACTTTAACTTTAGAACGCACAACAACATTAGTTACACCATTGAGTTGTCATTTGAGTAGTATTAAAAATTTCACAACAAAATCAATTATGTTGATTTTGTGCCATCAACATCTAGTCTATTGTTACTAAGATCAGCATTTTAGATGTTCTTGAATACCATATTGTGTCCTCTCCAAAATTTTAAAATTTAATTATTAAGATAATTTTATAAAAAATAGATTATATATTTAAAAAGATTATTTATATTATAAATATATATTTATCATTTGTGTATGTGTTTGTTCTTGTCTATCATAAAAAACAAATAAAAAATTTTATTTTTCCTAAAATTATGATTAAATTTATTTATAAAAATAATTAAATTATGCTCCCTAAAAGAAATATTTCTTGCTCAAGCCACTGGCGTTGCCACATGACTCACACTACATGATTTTTATAGTTATTATTTCATATATTTCTGCTGCAGTACTTTACAAATGTTATCTCTACAAGTGTTGGGTTGGCAAGGAACGGGTGAAAGAGAGCTAGGAAGAAAGATTATGGGGGTGGTTGTCAAGTTTGGAGGGCCATTAGTAGAAGGGCAAACAAGTGAATTATCATTGGTTTTACTAATGGGTTTCTTGGAAGCGTTTTGATTTTTTTTTTATCTTGTACTTAGGCTGCGTCTGAAAAGCGTAAACTTTAAGCATGTATTATTAATAAAACTTAGTTTATATTATTTATAATTTGATTGCATATTCTCAACATAAATTCATTATATTATGTATTTCTCATATACCATATATATAGGAATGGCTAAAGATGCCAACTCCACACCAAATGGATCATTACATTACATAGTGGAGGCGATGACAACTAACATTAACTCTTCTATAGTAGACATGTCAATAACATCATCTCTCCACAACTGCTAATGAGCAGATCTACCCAAAAAGATTTTTCACCCACCCTAATAATTTGAACTAGGTGACTTTTGTGGTCATGATAATTGCAATGATATATCTTATTTACCCCGCATCATGAGATTTCTTCCTTGTTCTCATTTTCCATAATTGATTCAGTGAACTTGCTCCAACTTTGCTTTCCAAGTATGACTGTCACTATCATTAAGGTTTACATGACCTTTTCAACCTTTAAAAAAAAAAGTTTACTCAGTTCTTACCACATTGATAATTTCACTATCCTAAAATGCAACTCCAAAACATCTCTAATAAATATTTTCAAATATGTTGTCGTCTAATATCTTCTATGGAGAATAAGTGAAACCATGAAATGGTACGATAACAACGTGATTTTATAATTCTTTCCAAATCACAGCGTCAGTCTCTCAACTTGATGCAGTTCTGTAGAATTTATCCATTAATTCATTATTTATTATCACAAGTTAATTTCAGTTTTCATTTTGAAATTGCAGTTGATAAACATCTAATTTACTTCACCGCATATTCCTAATTAAGTTTATGATCACACACTTCAACAACATGTGTTTTATAAAATAACCAAAATTAACTCTAATAGAACATATAAGTTTAACTTTAGAGCACGTAACAACAAAACGAAAGTTATACTATTTGAGTTGTCAATTGTGTAGTATTAAAAATTTCATCACAAACCAATGTTTTTTCAGAGAATAAATTCTTCGTCTTCTGATTATTCCTGCCCCAACTCCACCCTTCTTCTTTTAGTATACTCTTTTAATTTCAGTTTATTTGACTCCAAATAAAAAATTTAGCATACTTTATTAAGTTGGATGTTCTGTTGATTTTTCCTGCAATTACAATACATTACTATTACTGTTATTTTTGTAATATAATATAACCTACACAGAATTTAATCATATGAGAAATTGAAGTGGTTTCAATCTGAATTTAAGCTATACCATCATATTAAAATCTCTTACTTTCCATCCATTTAAATGAGATTATTTCTCATCCCTTTTAATTTCAATATTTTGCACCCACTTCTTGAAGTTAAAATTTTAATAAACACTCTTAGCAATTTTGGTTCATTTTTGACAGTTTATATCTTTTTTGTCTTATTTTTGTTTTATTTTATTTAAATTTTGATATCAAATAAAATGAGCATGATATCTTAGAATATTTATTTTTTATTTATGATGTCAAGGTGGTGGTTGCCAATGGAGTTTTAATGATGGTCAAAGAGATAATAATAACGGAAGTGATTGCCAGTGATGGTTGTGGCAGCAGTTGCGACTATCAACGATATTAGCAGAGGTCGGCAGTAATAGAATTAAAAAAAAAAAAACTCAAAACATCTAGTGTGTTCTTTAAAATAACTTTATTTGCTTTTAAAAAAAAATAAAATAGTTGAAAACACACTAATCAAGCATGATTTTTAAAAATAAAAGAAACAAACAAAAGAACCGAAACAGGATAAAATTTTAGGAAGATTACCATACATACCACAAAATTCTTATATACTTGTTTTTGTTATGCACTACCCATCCTTAGTCCTAGCTATGCTACCGGTCTAACTACACATCCCAACAAAATTTTAGCTCAATCCAGCATTATCTAATCAAGGAAAGGAACAGTTTAATGCATTCATAAGGAAGTGCAAACAATTTATTCATTAAATAGCTCAATCATAAAAAAAGTAAACTCCTAGGATACCATGCAGTTAAGAGAAATAAGCTCATAGCTCTGAAATATCAAAGTTGATAAAGTAATAACTGCAATCGTTCCTGCCATCAGATATGGTTTTCCGACAGCTTGCCAAGTATTTAAGTTGTTAATCTTAAATTATTCATGGCAGTCAATATTTGTGTCTAATTGCCCGACTCTAGTGCAAGTGGTCAGAGTGATTGTAAGCTTCCACTTAGTTACGAGTTTGAGGACTGGTGTTAGTGTATGATTTATGTAACATCATTTTTCACTGAAAATACTAGCAAGAACATGCACAAACACTTTACTTAAGAGAACAGAATAAAAAATAATAAAAAAAAAACCTGTGATTTGGACCATGAGAGGTCAAGCACATCGTCCAAATGCCCTATGAATGAGCAAACAGGCTTCTCCGAGAGCGCAAATGCTTGTTCAGGCATCATCACATGGTCTGAACTCAAAGATTTACTACCACTAGGACCCTTCGCAGTTCTCTTCCCTTCACCGTCAATTCTCTCCATACATGAAGGCAAAAACATCTCCTCTGGCAAACCTTTATTAGGGTTCGCTGCAAGATTGACACTGCCATAATCCTGGCCTGCTCGATCCACCAAGAACTCCAGCTTCCTATCATGCTCGAAGACCTGCCACGCATGGATCACACAATCCTCCCCAGCACTAGCCAGGTAACGACCGTTTAAGCTAAATTTGATGGTCCAGATAGATCCATTATGGGCTTGAATTTCCTGGCTCAAGAACAAGCCCGTGAGCTCTTTATGGGACTTCCCATACTGCCGGACTTTTATCCGCTCAGGGCCATGGCAAGGTGATTGCAGCTTGTCTTGGATATCATCTGTGGCAGAACTAGACCTCCTCCCTCCCTTTTCCGAAGACGTATCCATCACGTCGCTGCTCTGCCAATTCCGCTGCTTACCCACGGCCACAGCGTTCTTTAAGCTTTTGAGCCAGCTTGACCTCTTCTTCGACCTCCCACCACCGTTTGAATCAGCACTATCCTTCGAACGATGGCCAGATGCGCTGGAGTCGATCCTTCTACCCACGACATTCTGCCTACGCATTAGCTCCTTTACGATGGGTGAACTTCCAACAGATAACTCGAACTCTTCCATCGAGAACTGCCGACCAGTTTCCACCTCCCTCAGCTTATTCCACATCCCGTCCTCCCGAAACTCCTTGATCACAAACTCATTACCGTTTCCAAGGTCCTTGATTGTACACCTCTGCGCTTCCTCCCCCTCCCCATCCAATACCTCTAGTTCTCCCCCCACCGACGGCCTCGATCTCCCGATAAGCGGTGGCTTGTCAGTGACCGAAGCAAGTTGTCTACGCAAACTTCTCGGTTTGACGGAGCCGTCGGATCTGGAACGTGCGAAAGTGCCGACAATAGATTTTGCCCGGGCAGGATCAACCAGAGGGCAGAGACCATCGCAGGAAGTGCTTCGCCCCATCTCCCCTTCCCTCCCCACGCCACTTCTCCCACCATTGGGATTCACCAGACTGAGCTCTGGGTCACAGGCAAGGCCAATCTGTTGGAGGAAATGGCGGCGGCGCTCCTCGACGGAGCCCGGCTGTGAGAGCCATACATCAAAGGAGATGGGGGATGGAAGAGAAAAGAAGGCGTGGTGGCGGTGTTGCTTTGGACAACCATAGTCGCCTTCGTCGTCGGAAGAGGATGTAGAGGAGCACGAAGATGACAGATCGCGATTGAGAGATTCATAGAACTCGTCGTCCTCTTCACCCTCCACCGAATTGCTCATGCTATCGAGGCATTCAGATCCCCGATAACAGCGTCGGGGAAGAAGAATATGGTAAAACGACGGGGGCAACGATAATCATCCGAAGGGGGGCGCAGGTAGGGGATGATTGCCGTTGGAAGTAGAAGCGCGGAGCAAGTAGATCAGCCCGCCCTTTATAAACCAACGTGGCTCGGGACACTGTCTTCCATGCCTAATGGCACGCCATGATATTAACGAACTGTTCGGCAACAGACCCGAATTTCAACTGTAAATATCATAAATCTTATCAGACAATTATTTTGAATAAAATAAAGCCACAGATTTGATATATTTAAATTTCATAAATTCCGGCTGTAAATTCTAAATTTTCTCCGAACTGAGAGATTTAAGTTAGCTATATAAACTTTTAGGAATTAGCAAATCGCTTTAAGGATTTGATATTTTCAGGATTTAGTAAATCCTGATTTACAGATATACTAAATCCTAAAAATTTAAATCTCATCCATTATGAAATAACACCTAACATTGATGTTATGATATGACTCATATATCATATAAGAGACAGATACTGAAATGAAGAGGTGTGGAGCAGAAGAATCTGTCCAATCAGGGGAGTTTTGTTATGTGAGTTAGGGGTGCGAGAACAATGCCCCGCGGTATGGTACAAGAGTAATTTTGTAATTACATATTGTACTTCAGGTTTACTCCAGAGCTATATATATGTTTGTTTGTAAACCTGGGGAGTATCCCATATTATGTACTATTTTCTGAGTTGAAAGAAAGTTGTCGTTCTGCTACCGAGGACGTAGACATCTTTGTCGAACCTCGTTAAATCTCTGTGTTATTCTTTTGGATTTATGTCGATCCCAATTTTCTTCGCCCTAATTTATCAACAAGTGGCAGCATAGAGAGGTTAGAGGGCAGGGAAGAAAAATTTCGGCGACGCAGGAACAAAGAAGATTTGGCGGCTAGGGTTTATGTGATTCAGAGCGAATTCAGCGGATGGTTTCGGCAAGTTTCGCGGCAGTTCAGATTCGGCGGAGTGGTTCAGAGAAGATTTTCGACATGATTCTTGAATCGCGGCATTCTACAGAGGAGGTTTGCGAATCACAAAATCGGCAGTTCCGATTCGCAGCACTGTTCGACCTCTTCCGCGGGACGAATTCACAACTGAAGGAGGATTCGACGACGAAGTAATTCACGAAGGAAGTTCTGTCAACAGGCGCGAGGGTTCTGCGGAGGAAGCGATTTCACGAACAGGCGCGATCAATTCGCAGAGGAGATCAGAGGAGATCCAGAGGAGTTTGACACTTCCAGCGAAATTCTTCGGCGGCGAATTGCAGGAGTTCCCAAAGAGCTCCGATTTTTGGTGAAGAATTTTGTACAAGGAATTTTGACTTCAATGAAGGAATTATTTAAAGGAATTTGCTAAAAAGGTTCGTTGCAGGACTAACTTCAAATGACAATTTTTGGTGCAAAATTCGAGGTGGTGAAGTTCAATGGAACTGGAAAGTTCGGGTTGTGACAAACAATTTTGAAAGATTTGTTGGCACAACAGGGAATCTTGAAGGCTTCGCGGGCAACAAAACTAGATGTCATAGAGGATGAAGATTGAGAAGAATTGCAACAGCGAGCGTCAGCAACCATACTTTTATGTTTGACAGATGAGGTTATGTATTATGTGATGAATCTAAAATCTCTTGGGGAGGTATGAAAAAAATTAGAAACTTAGTTCATCCTAAATCTCTAACGAATAAATTGTATCTAAAGCAAAAACTGTGTGGGCTGAAGATACAAGAAGGTTCTGATCTAGCGCAACATGTTAATGGCTTCAAACAAATAATCACAGATTTATCATGACTTGATGTGAGTATTGAGGATGAAGACCGAGCAACGATTTTGTTGTGTTCATTGCTTTCTTCCTATGAACACCTGGTGACTACTCATACATATGGGAAAGAAACAATCAAAGTTGATGATATTACTGCAGCATTGTTGGCTTACAACTAGTGGAAGTAGAATGCAGGGGAAAGCTCTCATGGCTACAGTTTATATGTGAAGGGTAATCAGGATCATGGAAGGAAGAATGGGAGGAGGGTTCTGGAAGGCGAAATTCCAGATCAAAGTTCAAAGGTAAAAAGACAATTCATTGTTACAAGTGCAAGGAGCCAACTGGAAATATATGAAGAAGAATTTAATTTTTTTAGATGTATGATGACACTGTAACGAGCCGAACACAAGCTGTGAGCAAACAAGTTGTTTTGACAGTACTGGGTGTGTGAAGAAAATGCTTAACATTAAAGAAAATATGCTAAAAAGTGTCATCCAACAAATTTAGCAAGTTAAAAGTAGATTAGATACAAATAAGAGCCAAAGAACATTTAGGGGACAGGCAGACCCCTACACACCATCTTGAGGCGCCTAGGATTTCCATATACCCAAACATGGTACTCAAGTTCCCAATAACATGCACCAAATAGAGAGACAAACACCCAGGTGCAAGTCTGGTGCACGGGCACCACTCCTAAGCTCTCAAACATTAACCCTAAGGATTTAATCAGAGCGATCGATGCACAAGTGGAAGACATAGATACCCAAGTGCCAGTCTCAGTCACTTAAGAGATACTTCTTAGTGCTTAAGCACCACACCCAAACTAGAATTCAACCTCTTAAATAGGGAGCTCGATGCCTATGTGCTAAACCTAGGAGCCTAGGCACCATGAAATTGCCTTACAAGATTTTGAGTAGAAGTTGCCTGATTCCTTTCTTTTTTAAAGTATCTTGAAGGTACCTTATTTAAAGGGACATTTAGTACAGATGAGGTGGCTTTTTTTTATCTCTGAGCAGAGTTTCAAGGATATTTTATAGGATTTTCTATAAAGAAACTTAAGGAACAATTGGATATCTTTTATGGCAAAGCTTGACAGAAGGGTATCATCAACTAAGAGACTTCGCAACCATCTACCTGAGTTTTCTTATTCTCTGTTTATTATCTTAGTTTATTATGAAAATATTTCAACAAATTTTAATTTGTTTTTACTCATGGACATGAGCTAATACCCATCATTAAGGCTTGGATGCATCATGTGTTTGTTTGTTTAAATTTTTGTTAACAATGATAACTTATATTATTTTAGCTTTTTATACTTGTACCAGGCATTTTTCTATAATAGATAACAAACTATTAATTGTATGGATACTTATTAGTAACATTAGAGGACTACCTAAAATTGAGAGGTGGAGTGTGGACTCATCCTAAGTACAAATGTTGTGTTGGATGGACTGTAGTTAAAGTTGACTGTGGTGAATACACGTAACCTTAGTTAAGATTCGAATAACATTAATAGCTTTTCTTACATTTAATGGATCAGTAAGAGGTAGGTAGGTAGTGCAAAAATAAGAAAAACTCTAGGCTTGTGATAGCAAGGTAGCGGCCATATTGATCAATCCATTGTACCGTTTAACAAAAAATACTCATGTTGATTTTTAACTAATCTAAATAACACATGTGAAATCCAACCATTAGAGCTCTTTTGCCCTGATTTTACTCTAAGCAAACACTTGCTTTTATTGCTATAGTTTTTTTCTTTTGCTTATAATTTTGGTTTCATTGTTGCATTACCATGATCCAATAGTTCAGACAACGGTCCTCCAATTAACATTTATTACTTGTTAGGTCATTCTTCATGTGACTATATTCTTATTCTTCATTTCATTAGTCATACTCTACTTACTCTTGCATGTACATTAAAAATTTCAGCAAGCCTACATCCACTATCATGAGAAAGTCTATGTTCATTTATCTTTACATATACATCTTACAATCTCCTAGTTTTTCTTCTTTGTTATTATAAATTTCTTTAGAAAAAATACAAATACCTGCAAGTCCTCTTCTTTATAAAGATGGTGGCATTTATAAGCACCAAATGTGTTGAGAGATTAATGAATGAGCACATCATAGAAAACATAATCACGAATCATGATGCCATAATTACATCTACTCTTTGGTTAAGGGATCACGACTTCAAGACTTTTCTAGAAGATTGTTGATGGAAAATTTTAAAACTATAATTATGTGTATCCTTATATAACAACCAGTCATAATTGACAAGTTGATATGATTGTCAAGTATGTGATAGTTTGAAGCACAGTTTAGGCTTTTAAGCAAATTGCACTTATGAGAATACTTTCAATTGAGGTTATTATTGATAATCTAAGAGTTGGTATTGCATTATTTGACCTAAAAGTTATTCACATGATAATATTGATTTAACATAAAAAAAGTGGCACCAAACCTTACTTCATTCACTCGAAGCTCTATTTATATATCTTTTAGTGAAATAAGTACTTGGTTTTGACACAATCAAACTTTTTTATTTTTTTTTATTTGGTGATTTATGTTGAATTAATAATAGAAAAAGGCTAAATCCGAGTCAGACTTGTAGGAAGGAAGATACAAAAATATAGTGGTGGCCACTATTTCAATGGTTTTGGTGAAGGAAAAAGCTAGTTAGCTAGTTAGGATCTGAGGAAGTTTTCATGGAGGTTAGCATTTAGCATATGCATAAGATAAAAAGGTAACACAAAATATCTATAGGGATTTTCAATCACTGCATCTCTTGGAATGGTCTCTTATAGATGTAGTGACCATGATAATGCAAAAGGATGATGTTATGAAGAGTTAGAGTTAAACGACTGATGAAGTAAGCATGCGCCATAAGCATAAGGTAAGCAATGAAATAATTCATTCCTAGCATGGTTTAACAAATAAACCATCCAATGAAGTTTAAATATTTCTATTTAGATTATTGAGTATGCCATTAATAATAATATATTATCTTGAAAATATAAAAAAGTAATTTATAATGGATTCAAATACTAAATAAGAGATTTTAAAATTTATAGGTTCACATAAATTAAAGATTTGTTCTGTCCTTAATTTGGGTGACATAAGGCTTATTTTAATCTAGGATATAGTTTCCTTTTATGAGTAAACCCTTATAATTAATTGCATCTCATGGGCAATAGAATTTTAAGAATACTCTTAATTAAATTAAGGCCCATGTCTTCATAAATTTTAAATTTTAGCTTTAATAAAATTTAATGATATATTTCATTTGTTAGTTTCATCTTTATTAGTTTATTTTTTTTATATTTTATGTTGGTATTTTTAGTGTTTTATGCAGTATTTAGGTGAGTTGATAACATCGGGAGCAAGAGGAG